ACTGAAGTAATGGAGAGATCACCATCCAGTTCCCAGCCTGGCCAATGAGTGATTGATGTATGCCTGAAATGGAGCCAACAAGGAGTATAAACTCTTTGAAAACAACTGACATTGTAATCAGAGCCTATAAGGGTGGGTTGGTCCTTGATGCCAGGACCTGACCAGGTGGATAACCTGCTAAAATAAAAATAGCATTTTTTTTACAAGATTTAAACAGGCGACAGTCTCATAATATAATTTTCACAGTGACCAGAATATAAAATCAAAATTACTGAGCGTACGAAAAAAAAAAAAAACATGAACATTTAAATTGTCCTTGGAAAAGACAGTCAACAGATGCCGGTGATGAAATTTCACAGATGTTAAAATTATCAAAGTCCTTAAAGCAGCTATGATAAAAGTGCTCAAATGAGCAATTGCAACCATTCTTGAAACAAAGTTTAAAATAGAAATCTCAGCAAAGACATGAGAGATAAAAGTAGAAATCTGAGAATTTAGAAATACAAAACCAAACAAAGGAAGTCACTGGATGGACTCATTAGCAGAACTGAATCGACAGAGGGAAGAGTCAGTGAATTTGAAGATAAATAGAAATTATCCAATATAAACCATAGAGAGGAAGAAAAGGATATAAAAAAATGAACACAGCCTCTCTGACATATGGGATGACAAAAAAAGGGGGGATGTCTGACATCTGTGTTATCAGATCCTAGAGAGAAAGAAATATATATATATATATATATATATATTTATACACACACACACATATATACTTGTGTGTACATATATACTTACATATGTATATGTAAGCATGTATATATGTATGTAGGTATATAAGTATATGTGTTTAAGACCTAAACAGACCACAAACAAAGCAAACAAAAAAATCCACACCCAGTCACACCACAATCAAACCACTGAACACTAAAGACAAAGGAAAATCTTGAAAATAGAGAAAAATGGCATTGTTTTTAGGGGGAAAATGGTTTGAGTGAATGTAGATTTCTCATTAGAAACCATAGAGGTCATAGGAAGGGGAACAGTATTTCTAAAAGTGCTGAAGGAAAAAAAAATCTAAATTTGGCAAAAATATCTTTCAAGAATGAAGGGAAAATAAAGACATTCTCTGGTGAAGGAAAACTAAGAAAATTCACAGGAGCAAACCTGTTTTAAAGGAATTGATCATATTCCTCAGACAGAAAGGTATGTCTGGGCTCCGTCCCACAGCTGAACTGGTGGCCCCTTGGCATCAAGAAAGGACCACTCGTGTATCTCAAGCTACTATTTTCAATTTGCAAGGTAAATGCAGAGATTTGGGATGTGCAAAGTGACCTTCAGAAGCCAATTTTGGAAACATTCCAGCAGCAGTGAAGAGTGGCAGCTCATCTTCCTGGCTGGGGAGACTAGTGTCTCTAAAGCAACTGCTTATTGGAAAATGTCCCATGGTGTTCAGGCCCCATAGAGTACTCTTCAAAGCTGTGAAGACAAAATGGTAGTAGTGTGGTCCAGGCTCCCACCCTGAGGAAGGAATCACCAGAAGCCTCTAGACACTGGGCCAGAACCTGGGGATGGGCAGAGCAGATGGAATACTCTGCCGACAGAGGTGGTATTTTCAGGGGGCTTCATGGCATTAATGAGACAGCCATGGAGGGGAACATGGTGGACACTGGGTAGCCACCCAGGTGACAAACCTCAGTGATTATCATAATCATCAGGGGAGAACTGGGGTATTTCTTCAGTAAAGAATTTGGATGAAGAAGTAGTTTGGGGACCATTCTTATGACTCTGTGTCTCTCTGTAAACTGTCACAACGAGGAGAATATGAGCCACAGTTGTTAGAAGGATGATCTACAAATATTGTAAAAAGTTTGGAGAAGAGGAAGAACAATACTTGCGACCCCAAACCCTGGACACGACTATCTTCATTTTTCATATCGTCTCATGAATAGATAAATAATGTGAACAGAGGACTTTCCACTTTACATGGGTGTTCTGGAACAATATGGTTCCAGGGTATGGAAACCAGCCCCAAAATACAGCGAGACTAAAGAAAGAGGCAGATCTAGGACTGCACTGGTGCAATTTATTGGAGACCCACTGACAAAAGCATGATCATAGGCCACAGCAAGAGGAGTGGATCTCCATAGTTTGGGTCACAAGGAGGGGTATATATATCAGAGGGGAATATACAGGGTGGAGAGGAGTAAGTGAAGGAGATTGGGGAAGGGGTTGAGGAAAGGAAGTGGAAGAGAAGGAGGAAGGAAGGGAGGGGAAGAGGGCAGGGCTTTCTGGTGGGCATGGGTTCCTCAGATCCTTCTCAAGTGGGGCTTGAAGAGCTGTTGGCTTCTGTGAGAGCTGCTCAGCTCAACTGTAGGAGCTCCAGGTGATCCCCCTGCGGAGGGCTGAGGAGGATCCAGGACATGCCAGTTCCTGGGTCCCTGTAACAGCATGTGGCATGGAGATGAGAGCAGGGACACTGCAGTTAGAAGGTGGCCAGAGGTGGTGCTGAAAGCATTGGGAAGCAAGTCTTTAGGCTCCCTCCCACCCCTGCCCAGGAGGCTCTCTCAGGTCCCCTCAAAGCCTCCACGAAGTATCACTCATGCTGATTCAGCAATTTCTGTGCAGGCACAGTTTCCAAACAAGGCTCCAGCTCTCCTCCAAGGCTCCAACTCTCCTCCAAGGCTCCAGCTCTCTTCCAAGGCTCCGCATCTCCTCATTGAGGTCTGGAACCACAAGCTGTTTAAATCCTGGCACTGCCACTTGTGGGCAGTGTATGGATCCATCAGTCATTTAGCTTCTTGAAGTTCTGGTTTCCTCTTGGAGAAGCGGGATCATGATCACCTTGGAAGATTGGGACAGTTTCCTGAGCTGATGCCCATGAGTTTCTTTGTACAGTGTCCAGTACCTAAGAGGAGGTCAGGGACTGTTCTCTCCTTCCCTTTTCCACATTAGGAAAATTTCCAAGGGACTTTGAAGAGGGCAGAGGTGATTACTGGGCATTCTTTCAGTGCTCTTGACAGCTGTCTTTGAGCTACCTACACTAGGTAAGCCCTAGAAAATGGATAGTAATGCAAACAGAAACATAAGGAAAAACTGTCCCTTGAAGACATAAATAATTTCTGTTCTGGGTAACATTCCAAATATGGCATTTTATTGACCTATAGTCATGAACCCGTTTTTTTTTTTTTTTTGAAGGGCATTCCATATACACCTTTTCTTTCTTTTTTAAAATATGGTTTTAGTTGTAGATTGTCACAATGTCTTTATTTTTATGTGGTGCTGAGGATTGAACCCAGGGCCTCACGCGTGCGAGGCAAGTGCTCTACCACTGAGCTACAACCCCAGCCCATCAGTTTTGAGTATATTAGCAAATCATTTCCCCATCCTGACTACCTGTGTGTGTGTGTCCTTGAGTTCTCCTTTTGAAATGGTTGTAACGTCTTACTAGTTCCTTTATTAATGGAAGCTTTGACATGTGTTGATTTTAAATTTATATGAGCCATGACTTTACCTTTGAAAATGTAACACCTACTTCCTTGATGATTCACAAATCAGTAATTCAGATAAGACCTTCTTCATCCTTTCTCCACTGATTTTATATTAAATTCCAAGTTCCTCATCATGCCCTCCATAAAACACAAACAATACACATCCACACTCATGTGTGTACCCACACAGGGTCATGCTGTCATCCCCATACATACCCAGTATCCTCTACATGCCCACAAAATAGTGATCTTTGCTGGAGAGGGTTGCTAAAAACACAGGCATCTGAATATTTTGGACTGAATGGGAATTGGATACCTAACATACGAGGTGATTGGAAACCAAATTGCAGGGATTAAATAAATGAAGTAGTAACCTTAGCAGGGAATGGTATAGAGTGCTATCTATTTGGAGTCTACACTGAATCCTAACTTCAGTTCAAATTTAAAAATCGTACTGCCTTGATCTTTTGGGGTCCCTCTTTGAGGACTTGCTTGCCATTCTCTTTCCACCCTTAAGGAAGGTGAACTGAGTATCCACAGTGATGGTGGTCTGGGTAGAGTCCCTCTGGGACCTGTTATATATTTGCCAATATTTTTTTCAATGTCTGTTCCTTTGTGCTGCCATGTTCTAAGTCAGACCTGGAGCCATAGCTGGTTGACGATCTGAGATTGTTGGAGCCTCGGCTGGGAGGCATGGAAGGTCTGTCTACACTGTGGGTGGTAGTTATTAGATCATCTCTGGTGTCCCTGTGTACTCACTTGTTCCCTTTACTGATCGCTATAGAGGACCAACAGACAGATTGACTTCTGCTCTGGATAACTACCAGAGTCCTCCCAATATGCTTACTAACTGAAAAACAGCAGAACTCTTGGGAAAGCAATCACAGGCTCTTCTCTACACCAGCAAAAACGCTGGGTCCTGTGGCATTGACCACTTGGGAGCTTCCCGGGAACTGGCTCAGGCTTTCTAAATCAGAATATACAGTTTAATGAGAGTCCTTTGGTGAATCTTCTGCACTTTCAGAGTTTGAGAAATGCAAAGAGTGACAGAGGTCCCACTAGCACAGGAACATTAAACCCTCAAGTCTGTGACTCTAGTTGATAGGTGCACTGATCATGTTCACCCCTCAGAGCCAGCTTCCTCTTCCATAAAGGAAGGACAATAATCTCTGTGCCACAGGCCATGGAATGATCAGATACTTGCAAAGGCAGGGTAAGGCATTGCCTTATAACTTATTTAAAGAGAGAATTCTAAAGAAAACTTATGGGGGGGGCAGTAGGATTGGCAAAAGAGATCAGGAGTCAGGGTTTTCAGGGCTGGGCTCTAGACCTGACCACAGAAGGCACTTATGCTAGCCACCTTGCCTCAGCAGGGGGTCAGCTCCATGCCCTAGTACTCATTTCCCAAGCTGTGTCTGGGACCATCTACTGCGGGGATTCCCTGGGCACTGCAGGTCAGACTTCCCTCCTTGCATGGTCTGAGGACCCTCAATACATTCAAGGAATAAACAGTCAGAATGAAATCACTTTAATAGCATAGCAACATGTTAGGACCAAAAGTCACAAAGTTAGGAAACATCATATTCTTCAATTGCACAATTCTGCTGAGGTGTGTGGTTTCACAGGACAATCTTAATAGAAGGATTTTTCACATTGAGAACTTAATAAATAAGATACTTAAAATGTCAAACTTCAGAGACAATGAGTTATGAGCATGATTGTTTTCTTATTCTGCCTCCTCTGAGTCAGGTGGATGGAGGCTGGTCTTCTAAGAAGGATATTCATATTCCTCAGCACTGCGCCGGCCAAAATCCATCCAGCCCATGTAGTCCCGGTCACTTATCCTGTGGCTGGGGTCCAGGTTCTGCAGGTTCTTAATGATGGACATGCGGCCAGAGGGAGCTACAAGGGACAGAGAAGAAGAAGAGAAGAGCATTATATCTAAGAATACAACCAGTTCAATTTGTGAAGGCAAACAACAGAAAAGGCCAGATGAAATATATACATTTATATTCTTAAAGGTATTACAGACAAAGATGAAAGAGGAGAAAGACCTATATCTTCATAAATGGATAAAAGTGATGTTCACTAGTTATGGGTGTGTTTTGTGTTCACAGTTTATTTAGATGGGTTCATTTTGTCCTGCCTTATACAAACTGAGGAACTGCCTCAATTTTTCTTTGTCTCCCCTACCCTTAACAGTATTTTCCTTGTGTATATGGCCCTCAGCAGAAAGCAAGAATTTCCCTAGTACTTACCCATTTCTAAATTTCATTGCTTAACATCCCTGACATACCCAACTTGTCCAGAGAGCTTTAAGATAGTGCAATCACAATATCTTGATATTGAAATGGCTTTAAAAGATGGAGTTAAGTCCCAATGCTAATTAAACAATGTTTTGAAATTATTAATTTGAAAGCTACTTTCTTTTCTTAAAAATAAAGATAACCCGAAAAAGATACACTATCAGATTAAACTCTTGGCATCTCAGTAATAGTCCAAGAAGGATGCGAGAATAAAAGAGGTAAATGAAGTCAGAGATTTTGACCTAAAATCAATAACTGAAATTGAATGGGTGCCATGTCCTTGGGAACAGGATTATTCTTGCCTAGAACCCACATTGAGTGGGCAGAAGTATGACAAGGTAGATGCTTTGGAGGCATGTGACACAGTGCCTCTCAGAGATCACAGACAGTGATCTGTGCAAACGAAGGGTTAAACAAGGCGCTTCAGGGCCATGAATGGGCAAAGTCCAGGCCAATTCCTGAGTAGAGAAATAGAGGACCTCTCAGTGGTGGCCACTGTGTTGGGGGCCACCATGTCTCCACTTCTCAAGATATTGGTGAGGCTCTCCTTGCTAGTTCCTGCATATGGAGCCCAAATATGTGCTGTTTACTGACAAGTGACCCTTCATAGGCAGTTACCCTGTCCTAATGGGTAATGAAATTAACCAGCTATATTTAAAGCAGACACACCACTCAGAATAACAACATGCCCATCCTTTCTCTCTCTGCTCCCATCCCTTCCCAGTTTGGGAGCTAAGTCAACACAGCACATTTGAGCCCTTTTTGTAGACATTCCTAGCCTATCCAGAAGGGAAAGGGCCCCTGCTGTTTAACTGTTTGAGGACATTTTGTGGTGAAATATTTGTCCTTAAATTCAGCAAGACCTGCAGACTCAGTTCTCCATGGACAGTAACATGGAAATATGACCCGTCCTCCTGCCTGCTCTGATGATGAATGCTATAACCCAAATTTCCATCTAGTGGAAGCAAAGTGACAGCTTCAATATGAGCAAGCAACCAGGGTTGCTGGGATGAGCACTATGTATAGCTGTCATTCTATAGAGCTCTGTCCTCACCTGGGTGTACTTACCATAGTCTTCATTTACCAGTGCTACACAGAGTAGGGACTTATAACTGATTTATGGAGTCAAAGTGAAGGGTATGACTTCTTTAAACTTTAACATCCAGAACCGATAGTACAGCTGGGAAGCCAAATGGCTTCCAGACACTCTGGGGAAGTCAGGGCTTGGAGAACCTTAGTCTTGTTGCGGCTTAGATGTGCAGACATCTGCACATCTTCTATTATTATATTCTATTATTATTATTCAACCTTCTAGAGCCATGGCTTCCTTATGGGCAAAATGGGCATGATAATACTTACTGTGCCGGGATGTTTTTCAGGTCTGAGAGAGACAACAGCTGCAACACTGGGGTTTTGCTGGTTATGGATAAGTGTGTACTGAATGCCATTAGATGCACTATGCCACTAGATGCCTCCCCTATCACCCTCTACTAGAACTGCTTCTCCCCAAACCATTAAGAGTTCCTGATAATAAACTCTTACACACTTCTCAAAGAACACATTTTGTCATTTAGAACCTTTGATGTATTCTAGTGTTAAGTCAAATCGAATATGATCTCAAAATATATAAAATATTCAAGGACATTTATTCCTACATCGTATTTGTCAGTAGAAGAACATGATTGTTTTCTAGTTCTGCTGATCCTGGGTGTTGGCAGCTTATTTTCCAAGTGATTGCTCTTCCCACTAGGGTTCCTTTGGCCCAACAGCCTGAAGGCAAAGACAGGAGGGTGTTGAAAGAGGGGATTGGAAGAACTTCCCATCTAAGATTTATGCTGTAAGAGCCACTGGTAGGGTATTGGTTCTAGGAAATAATTTGGCAAGTAGCTCACCCCACCCCTAGAACTGGGTTTCTTGGGTCTTTCCTAAAGCTGGAGAGAGATCTACATTTCAGTGAATAGCCTAGGATATCTCAGACTGTCTGGCTGAAATTCAGCCCACATCTGTGAGCAGATTCTAAATTACGTTCAGATAGGCAAGCAGAAGGAATTCTCCAAACTGTCAGACTTTCTGTCATCTGACTAGTATTTCCATTTTTTCAGTTTAATTCTCAGGAAAGAACACAAAAGGTGTAGTTTGAGCAATTCTACGAATCACCTTCTGTCCTTTTCCCTCTGAAGGCCCTTGTCAAAAAGTTTCTAATTTCATCTTCATGTAAAACCACAGAAGACTCTAGAAAGCCAAGCCCTCCATTTTCTTCCTCTTTACTCAAAGCCGTAAGTTAAAGTTCAAATCCAATTGAGTAAAACCTCATAGAAAAGGAAGTCACTTCCCTCAGCCATCCTGGCAGTGTTTGCTGGATGTTTTTAATTCAGTTATTGATCCACTTTAGCACTCTGCCCCTTAGTCAGCGTCCATCATCAGTGTCATTGTGGATAAAGCTGGGAGAAAAAAAAATCATGATTCCTCCTTCTGAATCACACAAAGAGCCAACCGGGACTCCAGGGAGCTCTGGCCTCCTATTTTGCAGATGAGAAAGTCAGGCCCAGGAAAAGGGCACTAAGCCAGGGAGCTGCTAAATCACATTATTCCTGGAAAAAGGAATGCTGAGAAACTGACTTATGGAAACATCTCTCCAATAGTTGTGTTTTCTTTCTTTTTTTAATCATCTCATATGTAATTATTTCAGTTCACTCACTGTCAAGGAAAAACTCAAAAATGTTCCTGGTTCTTTCCTTCTGTTACATTCTTTAGTGAAAACTGACCTATTCTCACTTGTTTTTGTCAGATCTCAAGCATTTTCAGCATCCTTCACTTCCTGCTACAGAGTTTCCAACTGTCTGCATCTGTGTGGCTCCTGGTTCAGCTCCATTAATAGAAGAGGTTGTTTAGTGTATTTGGAACCACTTTCCAGGATTTAGTAATTATCTTTAAAAAACATTTTCATAAAATGGTGTTGAGCTTAATCAGCAACACTGTACCAAAAATTAGCTTAAAGAAAGATTTTTAAGAACGTTTTCCTTACTAATAAATTAAGTTCTCTACACCTCATTTTGATTTGCTTATAGAAGACTTCAAAACTGTACTCTCAGGTGCAGTGGAACTCTGGAAAGGAAGGTGGAAATCCTATTAGTCTGTGTTTTCTCCCAAAAGGGACAGGGATACCTTCATCTGGTGGACGTTAGAGGAGAGGGCCAGGATTGACAGTCCAGAACAGGGACAGAAGTGAGGGACGAGAAGGCAGCATCCTTACCTTTCCGAGCCTGCTGGATGTATCGGGCCAGCAGTGCGCCCAGGTGCGCTCTCGGCTCCCCGTCTGTCCTCTGCACAGCCCTCAGCTGCCTTCGGGCCGCCTCTTCTGCCCTCTGCACCCCGGAGCCTGCGGCACCAGCTGGGGGTACCGGCTGCGTCAGGGCCCCCGCAGCGAGTACCGCCATCAGCACGCACAGGCAAACGCCACGGTTCATGGCTGTGGAGAGCAAAGTCGAGGGGGCGTCAAAAAAAAAAAAGAAAAAATGCTGGGCATCCGCCAGCGCCTGCCGAGAGTCGGGCACCTGGAAGCGGGCTCAGTCCAGCGCCGGCGCACCAGATCCGCTAGGCTGGAGCAAGCGCTAGGGCTTACCAAGCGCAGACCCCAGCTGAGTGACACACAGCCGCGCGCGCGCGCCTAAGCGCGCTTGGCTTGTCTCTAGGGTAATCCGCACCCAAGAGCCAGGATCAGAGAGAACTGGTGTTTTGCCCTTTTTAGCAGAAAGAATGTCTCCTGTTCGCCTTAAGTTTGAGAAAGCTTTTGTAGAGCGTCTTTGTTCTAACTGGAAAAGCACTCTATTAAAGATAGTGTGAAAAATACGGGATCTCAGCAGAGAGAAATGAGACCCTTGAAGGAAGGCAAGACTTTTCCAGATAGAAAAGAAGCTTTTAATACTGAAATAAATGACGAATAATAATAATAAAAAAACACACACACACACATACAGTTTAAACTGTGGATGCCATAAATTAAAAAAAAAATTATAAAGTTTCCTCGAGGTGTATGTGGGAATTAGTAATAAATCATTACGCAAAACATAGGTAGGGTTTTAAAAATCAGAAATATGCGTTCAGTTCTCAGCCATTGCCAAAGCACCGACTGACTGCATTTTAGAACTGTGATTAGATAGAAAATCCACATATTTCTATTCTTAAAGCTCTGGATTTTCTGCAATATTTAGAAAATGGATTTAAATATTAAAACTTTTTGGTATTTTATTTGAAAAGATTGCAAAGCACCTCTGTTTAACTGCTAGCAAATCTCAATTTGCCTGAGACTCCTAGCAAATGGCTATTTCAAAGTTTTGTGCAAAAAAGACCCACACAGGCTTGTGAAAGTCTCTAAGGCAGCTACCCACCCAGCCCTCATTTTTAAATCCAGCACCCTTATTTCTGAGTTTTAAGAATGTCTTTTCAGCTATGGGGGGGGGGCACAGAAAACAGAAAAAATATAAAGGGGTACAAAACTGAAGACAGCATTCTTCAAAGACACAGGACACTTGTATCCGCGTGGGCGAGTGAAGGGACCTACATACCTCTGGATTAGAAAGCAGCTGGTTTAGCGTTTCCAGCGGAGCTGCGACAGCCGAGCCAAGTTCAGGGTAAACGGGCGGGTGGCTGCCTCTTAAATAGCCCCGCCCGGCGCTATAGGACAGTCATCTATTTACCCAACGCTGACGCAGACCCGCAGCAACACGTGCTCAGAGGACGGCCACTGGGTCGACAACCGATTGAAGTGGCTTCTAGAAAAAGAGGGGAGACGGCTCAAGAAAAGGGGGCTAGCCCCTCCCAGGCGGGGATCCCGGTGTGGGTTCTCCCGGGGGCCCAATGCACTTCCACCCTAGCCCTGTCCGCTGCCTCTCCTTGGCCCATTCCAGTGCAGTGCGCTTTCCAGGGTGGGAAACCCAGGAGTCTTTAGCTTCTGGGTTGGATAAACTGCCTGAGTTTAATTCACTTTGGGAACCAGTTGGGCCTCCAAGGAAACTTTGGGAACCCTAGGCCGGACTGACAGCTAGGCGAAATTCTGAAAGTGGGCGTGTGTGTGTGTGGGGGGGTGGGTCCCCTCTTGGATCACCTGAGGCCCTGGTCTCTGGACTTGTAAGGGCTCTCTCCAGGGAGAAGAGGGAAGTCAGAATCTTCACTTGCTTCTCAGCGCAATAAAAGCCCTTGATGATTCCAAGGGCAAGTGTTCCCAGTCCGGGAAAGGGATCCCGCCACTGCTGGCTGTTGGTGTCCTGGGCCTTTCTTCATGAAGCTGTAAAATGGAAATGACACCTCGGGGCTTGGCTCAGGGGGATCCATTTTAAGAAAGGGCTTCGATCTCTTCCTGGGCAGAGTTACCACAAACCCGCGGCGCCCGCTGCTCATTGTCGCCAAGTGGCGCCAGTGAGTGTCTTGGGGAGCTTGCAGCCCACCGCACCCCACAAGTTCCGGCTTCTCACGCCTTCTGCGAGTACTCGCGCACTCCCCTCTCCCACCGCCTCTCCAGAATTCTGACTGCTCGGCTTGGAGATAAGGACTCTGCCGCTGCCCCTTGTCATTCACCTGCCCAAGGAGGGAAGAAGGGCACCCGGGGCACGGCACCCGTGCGTCTTCCCTGCGCTGTTGCTCCTCTGACTCCGTAGCGAGGCTGCCCCAAGCCGCTCAGAGCGCGGTACATGAAGCCATCTAGGTTGGAGTCCGAGGGCTGGTGCATGAGTTCGCTAAGTTCCTTAAAAAGCACTGCTAACCCCATTTCACAGACAGCAAACCCGGGGCGCGGGGGCGGGGGAGCGCATAGCTCTGCGGAGGGTCAGCACCATTCCCTCGTCGCCTGCGTGCACCAAATCTAGCCTGGGGATCCCCAGCCATCCCCTAAACCGGTCGCTCAACCCCTCCCTTCTCCTTTCCTTTTATCCATCTTGAATTCAAAGAAAAGATTTAGAAACGTTTCCTTAAAAATTGGAATCTGTACTCAGGCGTGGACTGTCCGGATTGAGGGATTGAGGGAACGCTGGAGTGGGGGTCTGGTGGTCAACTTTGGTTGCTGCCTGCCTTTCTAATCCGAAGGGGAAGCTGCGTTTCTGCAACCTAGAGGCACCATTTTTGAAACAGAACAACTGATTAAATCCTGTCTAGTGGTTTTCCCAGGAGGCTGCTAACAATTATATGGTTCGGTTGAGGAAACTAGTTTCATTTGTGACAGTAGTCAAGACATGTCTGGAATTGTAATAGGGCCTGTTCAAATGCCAGCAGTTTCTGATTCTGCATGTCTGAGGTGGGGTCCAGGAATCTGCATGTCTAACAAGTTGCCTGAGAACTTGGCCATGGAACTTCCTTACCTTAGGCCAGTTACTTGACTCCCTTCCCTCCCTCTGTTTATTGAACATTATTTTGTGCCAGGCCCTAGGGAGCAGACAGTACAATGGGGGAGCTCAAGAAATAAGTAAACAAACAGCTCTGCACGGTTCTGATGTATCTGGAAACTCTGGGGTGGAGGTGGTGGGAGATAATCTTGAAGAAATGCTCTGATGAGCTCAGTGAAGAAACAAGTTTAGCATTTTCAATAGATGAGTCTGATGGTGATGTGGAAGGTGTCCCAAAGACAGAAGGGCAGCCAGAGCTGGTTAGGAGGGCCATGGGATGTCAGAGGAACAAGGAGAAAAAAAGGTAGGTTTATATTTAGGACAATGCACCATTATGAAACCTGTTAATTCTTATGAAACTTGACAAACATCATGCAAGTTGTAAAATTAGTAAAAGTAGAGATAAGTAAACCTTCCAACTGCCCAGGGAGTGACCTCTTGCTGTTTTAAGAAACTAGTAGAAGCATGGGGGGATTTGATGACTGAGGCTGATCTTGAAGTTCTAGGTTGGGAGACAAGAGTGGAGTGGATGGTGGAGTGTTGTTACCCAAGACAGGAATTTTAGGAGGAAGAGCAGATTGGGAATGTGGGGCTGGGGTGGGTAATGAGATCAGCATGAGATTGAGTTTATTGTTTGTTCATGGACCATCCTAGAGGAGGTTGGGAACCTGAGTCCTGAGCTCAGGGCAGAAGGGGCACTGGAAGTGTGGATCTAGAGTGTGACATGTGGGTGACAGCTGCCCATCTGGGAAGTGTAGGTAGAGTCTAGAAAGGCAGATAGCAGGACAGTGGTGGGGCGGGTGGATGCCTCTAGACAGACCCCGAGGAGTGACAGCAAGAAGAAATGAGTGGAAGAAAGGGAGCTGGCACAGAACCTGAGGGGTGGCCAAGAGCCCAGAGTGGAAATGCTGCAAAGAAAAGTCAAAGGGGACAAGGACTTTCAGAGGCTGGAAGGAGGGCTGGGGCAACAGGTCTTTCATTTACAATAAAGTTGTAGCCACTTCCCTCCAGGGATGGGAATTCTGAGCTGGAACTTGTTATGGAAGATAAGCCAAGAGAATAAAAAGTCCGAAGAAGTCTGAACTTTTGGGCCATAGTAATGATTTTTCCTTCTTAATGGATCAGAGGGTACTAATAATTCTGACCTTTGTTTTCTGGCAAAATGGGCCTGGGGCCTGACTTTTTCCTGGAATACCTATGCGTATCTGCATTGAGGAGAATCCATTTGCTTAATGCTTCCTGAGGGAGATGCTTTTGGTGCCCTTCACCACCGCTCAGAGACCCCCCCCTCTGGCTCCAGCTGCTGCTGAGTTGGGGAGTTTGAAATACCCAAACTATATTCCCTCCTCAAGCTTTCAAAGCACCCCACTCTACTTCCCTGGCTCAAGGCTCTGCCCAGCTGGGTTCAGCCTGGAAGTAAGGGCGTGAACTCACCTTCAGTTTCTGTGGGATGGAAGCAGTTTCTCCTCCTCTGTATGGCCCATTCCAGAAGCTCCTGGAAACTTTCCAGAGTTCCTTTGTCTGTAGCAGTGACCTTGATAACATCTCTTTAATTGGATTTTTCCTTTCTTTGTCTTACACTTCTCGTTTCTTTACTTTTGCTTTCTTAGATCATCATCTTCCAAATAAAACTCAGGCCCCCAAGTCTGTCTAATTTCAATATAATCCTACTGAAGATGCCAACTGTCTTTCTGGTACTGTAGGGTGACAACAGTGAACAAAACACACAAAATCCTTGTGCTCATGGTGCTTCTCTTATAGTGGGAATACACTGATGTGGGATGGTCATGGATGAGTTCACAGGGAAGCAGGGACAGGGCATGTGGAGGGCTTGGCAGCCCCTTCACTCGAACATATGCCAACCTCTGGTTGAGGACCCTCTATTAGGCTCTTTGGTTTGTGGACTTGCTATGTACACTAAGGAGAAATGGCTTTTACTTCTCTGTCCTAGTAAAGAAGAGGGATGCTACTCATACATTGCTGGTGGGACTGCCAATTCGTGCAACCACTATGGAAAGCAGTATGGAGATATTTCAGAAAACTGGGAATGGAACCACCATTTGACCCAGCTTTCCCACTCCTTGGTCTATACCCAAATGACTTAAAATCAGCATACTATAGTGACATAGCCACATCAATGTTATAGCAGCTCAATTCACAATAGCTAGACTATGGAACCAACCCAAGTGTCTCTCAACAGATGAATGGGTAAAGAAAATGTGGTATGTATACACAATAGACTATTACTCAGCTTTAAAGAAGAGTGAAATTATGGCATTTGCCAGTATATGGCTGGAGTTGTAGAATGTCAGGCTAAGCAAAATAAGCCAATCCCACAAAACCAAAGCCGAATGTTTTCTTTAATAAGCTGATGCTAATTCACAATAAGTGGGGGGGGGCAGTAGGGAAGAATAATGTTACCTTAGATTAGGTAGAGGGAAGTGATGGGAGGGGAGAGAAGGGGATGTGGGGATAGGAAAGATAGCAGAATGAAACAGACATGATTACTGTATGTATATGTGTGACCACATGACCAATATGATTCTGCGACATGTACACTCAGAAAAATGAGAAATTATATCCCATCTATGTATGATACATCAAAGTGCATAAATGCAGTCCTTGAGAGATATATCATATTTTCAGGGTAAGATTTTCCAATTATGGGATTGTCTCAAAGACATACATCCTTTTTGTATCAAAGAAAAATTGGTGGAATTCCAGGGGCATGCAGGAACCTTCTAATTTATTATTCATAGAACTTAAACCTGTTACAAGCCGTCCCCATTTAACAGAGGTCAGGAGGCCGCTTGCTCTAATCAGAAATGAATCGGTTTGAAGGCTTCTATTTGGGGTCTTTTCTTCTGCTGATCATGTATTAGAAATCTCACATTTGTTTTGAAACATCTAAAGGCCCACATAGCCAACGTCATTGGCCTTTATCCGAAATGGTTTGACTGAAAAGACTGGCTGATGGATTTCCTTAGGACACTTGTCTTAGTTTGGATTCTTATAAAAGCAGAGCTGGATGCAAGCGTCTGGTTACATGGGTGGGTTTGGGAGTGATCCCACGGAAGCAGGGGTGTTGGAGGAGGAAGAGCGAAGACGCTGAAGTGTAATGGTGAGTTACTGCTAAAGCTGATCCCCCCGGGGTCTCTTCTGATACTCCTCATCCAGCTGAACTGAGGCAGGAAGAGAGTCCAACATCTACCCACTGACTCCCATTCCCATTGGATAAGGCTGCCCCAAGGGGTGTTACGCCCCCTTCACTTCCAGATAGGCCTCCCTGCCCCTGCAATGCCACAGAAAACCATCAGGCAGAGAAGAGAGAAGCAGGCAGCCAC